GGCAGGAGAAAATTAAAACAAAGAAATTAGAAGCAAAACATACAATTAAAGATCACAAACAAGGAAACCATTCACTATCTCTTTTTTACTTTAGACAAAACAAAAAAAACAAAAAAGAAAAAAGAAAAAAGAAAAAAAGAAGTTAGAACCCTAAACCCCGAGTCGCCTCCTGTTTTCCCTCGCTCCACACTGCATCAGCTGCATACAGAGAGAGAGAGGGAATGAAACTTCAGAGTCTCTGAGATCGAAATCAAACCCTAAAACCCAACCGAAGCTCCCCATTTTCTGCATCTCCATCCGAGCAATCGCTGCGATTGGCCTCAACCATGTCGGCTTTATCCAGAGGTCTCGTTTCTCGTTTCCGTCTTCTCTCCATCAATTCCGGCGCCTCTTCTACAATTTCCCCTTCTTCTTCGCGAACGCATCCCTCTTGTTACTACTTCTTCCGTTCTTTCAGCTCCGAGGATTTGATCCAGGCCGGCGACGTCTCCTCGCCTTCTTCTCCGATCATTGAAGCTAAGCCCGGTGTCATGGCCCCTAACTCGAAGCGGACGGGCGTCATTGCCGTCAAGTGTGGAATGTCGGCGCTGTGGGATAAATGGGGAGCTAGGATACCCATCACCGTGCTCTGGGTTGATGATAATATTGTGTCTCAGGTCAAGACAATCGAGAAAGAAGGTATCACAGCCCTCCAGGTATTACTTAACTCTCTTCTTCTCATTTTCATTCCATTGCCGGAGATAATTTTTGTTTCTCCTTCTTGTTATTATCACTGAGGAGTCTATTTTTGGAACACTATTCACTATTTTAATCTCTTGTGTTATGGCAGCACTTCACTTTCAAGTCCTTGGATTTTGGAATTATACTGAACTGAACTGCACGCCGTTTTGGATTAGTGTCTAACTATGAATACACTTAATTAGACCTAAATATAACCATCTGTGACAGTTTTTTAATTAATAACTGGGTTTTGTGGGTCATTATGCTCATGACCAACCTCCCTAATATTTGGGAGGATTCGCCCACTCCAAAGATAGCTCTGAGAGACAACAAGCGTTTTAGAAATTACTACCATTTACTCCCATTGTTGTTTTCAATATTTCTAAGAAAAAACCAGTTGTCTTGAGTATTAGACCATATGTATGAGGTTTGTTTTTTCAGTTTTAAAAATCTTATATCGCATAGGTAGGTGATAGGACTTGAGTTTATTGACCAAAGGTGCTATGCTATGGTGCTAGTTAGATTGGCTGTGGACAGAAGAAGGCGAAGCATTTGACAAAACCGGAATTAGGACATTTTAGGGCTCAAGGTGTTCCATTGAAGAGGAAACTGAGGGAGTTTCCAGTGTCAGCAGATGCACTTCTTCCAGTTGGTACAACAATTGGTGTTCGTCATTTTGTCCCTGGACAGTATGTTGATGTGACTGGAATCACAAGAGGGAAAGGTTTTCAGGTGAATCCATTGTAGCATTCCTCTAGTTTTTGAACTTGCACCCTTTACCATTTTATTTGTCATTCAATTCCTTATATTTGTTAATATGGTTAAGTTAGTTGCATATTTGAAGCCCTTAAGGTGCTAGGATCATTCGAAATAGAATTGACATGTGAATATCTTTTAGAGATACAATTTATGGATTTTAATGCCATCGCGGGAACATTGAGTGGTATAAATGTATGTCTCTCTTTGAATTTTGGTCAAATTATCTATCCAATGAAATAATGGATTTAACAGATTACGTTGCAACGCAATAATCGGCTGAATAACAAAGAATACTGTAACCACGAGAGTAAGCAATTATTTACACGAAACACAATAACCCCACCCAAAGCTTTTGACATGTTATCATGCTTAATCATGCTCCAACTTGTTTCTTGGCATGCATGCTTAATTAACTAACACTCTGCATGATCTGCAAGGTACAATGTAACTGTGAAAGTTACCATGCTGCACATGTATGTTAGACTAAGAGAACATGAACGGTTTCTCAATGAGGTCATGTGCATCCTTAAGGAGAAAAGAATAACACGATCCATGGATATAAATATAAGCATGAAAGTGTTTGTGGCTACAGAACCCTAGGAAAGACATGTACGTGGCTGATTATTTATGTGGAGCTATGATATTTGCTTTGTCTTCTCTACATGTTTGTGCCAGTTTGGCTGATTTTGGGTTGTATATTTGTGTCCCGAAAGTGATTCACGAGGTCCAATCCACAACTATCATATAAATAACTGTTTTCTTTCCATGTAGGTATATTATTTTTTCTGTTTCCCTAAAAGTGATGTCTCTCATGGCTAATTTTTTTTTTCTAACTGTGCACAGGGAGTGATGAAAAGGCATGGATTTAAAGGAATGCCAGCATCCCATGGAGCATCATTATCCCATAGAAGCCCTGGTTCTACGGGTCAGAGGGATGCTCCTGGAAAGGTGTGCTTATCTTGACGTTCATTTTTAAGATTGAGTGGTATATCAGTTCTCAAATGCGTTTTAGAGCTACCCTACCTGAAACATGTGCTGGATACTCACATTTGAGATAGTTGCTATTTCGTGTTCGCTTACTGGGTGGGTCTCTCTGATTCTGGGAGTTGTGCTGCTTCTCTCTCTCTCTCTCATGTCAATTTGCAAGGCTCCTTCTCAATGAATGAAAATTTTAGAGATGAGAATTAACAATTTACTAAACCATCATGGTGTGGCCTAGTGGTCAATAAGGGTCAAATAACATATGGCTTAGAGGGAATGACTTCAAAAGGTGGCCACATACCTAGAATTTAATATCCTATGAATTACCTTGGCAACCACATGTACTAGGGTCAGACAGTTATCCTGTGAGATTAGTCGAGGTGCGTGCAAGCTGGCTCGGACACTCACGGATATAAAGAAAAAGAATTTGGAATTTTACTAGGAGTGTTTAGTCAACAAATATGAATAGCTGGCACCCTGGGAAGTGTATGGTTTTTGGATTTAACTATGCTTTTGGATGGAATCAATATTAAGTAATATTTGGAAGTTACTACTTGTGGTTGCAATCTTGAAAATAATATCCTGACGAAACTTAATTTACTAAGTTTTAAGAGATTGAACCTGAATCCCTATACTGAATTTATCTTCAACAGAAGTACTGTGTTTGGATAGAACATACTTTGATTTAGTTTGTTGGAATCATGGAAACTTTTGTGTTGAATGGCAGAATCTCATTCCTGTTTCTAAAGATAAAGGAAAAAAATCCCATAATGTGGAATAATATCCTTGTGACTATGGTCCGTTATGTTAATGTAGTGAAGAATTGTAATTCTTTCTCTCTTTATATCATGTAATTTATGACAGTGAGAAAGCATATACTTATTTTGCAGGTCTTTAAAGGTAAAAAAATGCCTGGACGCATGGGTGGGAAGCAGAGAACTGTGAAAAATGTGTGGGTCTACAAAATTGACCCCGCAAGAAACTTGATATGGGTGAAAGGCCAAGTACGTTTCTTATAAAAACCTAATTCCAACTCCTGATCCAATCCATATTCTCTAGAGTCCTTGTTCTGTTTCTATGTTTGACCCATAAATTTCATACTCTTGGCACAACATGGTCTGAGATTATTGCTGCACACACCTTCAGGTCCCCGGTGCCGAAGGAAACTTTGTATTTATAAAAGACGCATTCTACAAGAAACCCGATAAGTCGATCCTTCCGTTTCCCACCTACTTCGCAACTGAAGACGAGGACTCCGAGAAGTTGGAACCTCTTGTTGCTGATCTTGGAGAAGTAGATCCATTTATGGTTGGAGATTGATTAGGAGTTGCCTTTTCAGCGCAAGTAGTGGATTTTGGTCTGCTTTTGGTTTTTTATTTTCAACTTCTGATAGTGTATGCAGGCGTGCTTATTGATGGCCCTGATGAGTAGTCAATTTCATTATAGAAATGCAGCTGGAGGATCTGTACGAGGAAATCCAACCTCTTAATGCGACGGTAATTTACCAATTTTTTTTCCCCTTTTCCCCCTTTTTCCTATTTGTTTATTTACAACCGCCATCTCAAACATGTACCTGAAATAGCCCTTTTGAAATAAAGAGTAGAGAAGAGGGAGGCTATAAATATTGAGAATTTTTGTTGAGTGGTTTTAACTTTTTATCCTTTTTGTTTATGTGAACTTGGAAAATAGATTGTTTATGGCTGCCATAGTTAGTAATATCTTAACTACCCGAGCGGTATCTCTTATGGGTTGGAAGTTCAAATCTCGTTCTTTTATTTGTAATGTAATATTCTTAAGGTTAAATTACATAATATATTATTGAACTTTGCTCTTTATTTAATAAACACTCAAATTCTTTCAAAAGTCTAAATACTACACCTTTCATAGACGTTTAAAAAGAAGTTGACCTATTAGTGTGGAAGTTTGTCTTGAAAGGAGAAGAAATCTGGAAGAAGCTATCAATTTTTCAAAATTGGATTAGCATAAAATTTGATAGACAATCCTTTATTTTTTTCAAACAAAAAGTCTAAGTCGGGTATTTTATTTTTATTCGTAACTTTGAACCAAGCTATAAGCAATGGTAAAAATTTTCAATTAAAATTGGTGGTTCAAAATGAATTTAATTTAATCTAAACGATTTTATTTGCTCTTTTAGTTTTTAAGCTGGCTGATTTAGATTTGGCTCTAGCTTTAATTTAGCTGGGATTGAATTTTTTTTTTCCGAACACGTCTTCAAATAACTGGTTTTTTTAGTTCAAATTAAAGGTAGAGATGAAAATTCAAACTTCTACGTTGTGAAGCAATTAAATTGTGTCAAAGTGAACGAGTTTGACAACCGTTAGTGCATTGTTTTGCACTAGTAATAAATAATTTAGTTTAGACAATTTAATCTTCTATAATTTAAAAATTTGTAAGTATGCAAAGTTTTGTTAATGGGAACTGTTGTAAAAAATTTCTGGTTCTATACAATGATATTACACCTTAACAACTTTTTTCATATTAGAATCTAAATCATACAAATTTTAAATAAAAAATTTTAAATTATTACAAATCTAAAAATACATGAATTAAATCCCTAGGTAGATAAGCACCAATTTCTCTTTTCCATTTATCATGTTTGACAAATTAGAAAATCATAAAATTTAAAATCATTTTAAATTTATTTTAAAAGTATCACTAATGATTTTAGAAAATCAATTTTACTAAATTTTTTTTTTCACTATAAATCATTCCCCAAAAGTTAAAAACAACCACGAAATGTGTTTCTTAAAATCTAATATGGGTACCATATTAACATTTAAAATGGAATCGTGGGACTAAAATTGTAATTTCACCGGAAAATTAACTTAAAACTAAAAAACGTTATTTATTTATAATGTGTGCACTGTGCAGATTGCAGAATTCTGCAGTTCAAAATTCAAACCCGAAGAGCCAAACTTGTCGACGATTTCTTCTCGTCGCCTCGCTCACCATTTTCAAATTTCATTTTCAAGTTTCTCTCTCCTCTCCTTTCCCAAAATTCTCTCTCTCTCTCTCCTCCTTCACGTCGATCGGATTCTCTCTCCGGCTCCGATTCCATTCTAGGGTTTCTGCTCCTCCGGCGAATGCTCCTCCTCCTCCTCCGATGAATCGGCCGCACAGAAACCTTCTTCTTCACCCCAATTCTCACTGCCAAGAATGCGGCACCTCTCAATCCCACTGCTGGATCCTCCACCACGTCCGTCTCAAAGCCTCCTTCCGCCGTCTCTGCACCAATTGCGTTCTCAAGAACAATCTCTCCGGTTTCTGCCCCGTTTGCTTCGATGTTTACGACGATTCCTCTCCCCCGCCCTCTCACCAGCGAGTTATGTGCTTCAGATGCCCTTCAATCTCCCACTTCTCCTGCGTTTCCGTCCATTTTTCTTCTACCTTCTTGTGCTCTCACTGCTCTGATCCTCGTTTTACCTTCTTCGACGGTTTCCACTCCGCCGCCCTCTCCCAGTCCGGCTCGGCCGCTGTTCTGGCTGACAACAGAGTCGTTGATTGTAAATCGGCTAGGGCGATCGTCGCTGCCGCTCGTGTCGCTGCTCAATCTATGCGGAGAGCGGCGGCTGACGCTAGGGCTGCGGCGGAGACGAAGATCAAGAATGCTGCATTTGCCAAGAAGCAGGCTACTCTCGCATTGGAGCGACTAGCTTTTCTCGTGCTACAGGAGGAGGACAGAAACGGATGCGTGAAGAGTAATAATGGAGATGCTGTTGCAGGTGAGAGGACGGTGGAAGAATCCAAGCTACAGGACAAGGAGGTAACAGCCATTCTCGAGCGGAAGAAGTGGAATCAGAGTCAGTAGGCGGCCAATCGATTTTGACGAAGGCAACTCAAGAAGGAAACTAACTGTAGAGAGTAATCTTTTTCGACTGTTTCATTCCATAGGGTATTTCAAAGATCAGTAGAATGCAGAGCGCGGAGGTACAATTAACCATCCATGGAAGCTTCTGGATCAATGTACCGATGATCTTTCTATATCAATGAATGCTAAGAAAGATCAGTAGAATGGACTTCTATGTAAATTTCAACATTGTTCTTGAGAACCATTCTTTGGGAGTTTCTCCTCATATTGAAATTCTATTGAGAATGGGACAGATTGTTCTACTCCTATTCATCCCAATTCTTTATTTATCATTTTTGTTTATGATTTGTCTTTCTTGAGTTGAGTTGCTCTATATATGGTTCTCAGTTTAGCAAGCATCTCATGGTTGTATGGGCGAGTGGACTCCATTATTGCCGCCTTTTGAGCTACTAGAATTGCCATTGGCGGAGCGGTGGGCACATCAAGACGGTGACAGCGACGGCGACGGCGGCCAGTGGTGCAGGTTTTTGGCTCTTAAAATTGACCATTTTTTCAGTCTTCGTCGTCTCTGTGAAATTCTGTCGAAAAAGGCTGCCATTGCAATGTTCTCGAGTATTTATTTCAACAAACGAAATCAGGTCTTCTGTCTCTTTCTGAGTTATCATTTCGCTTCGTTTTGGTTCAGACGATACGGCCGAGTCCGCTCGCTCGGCTCGCTGCCAATTAACCGAGTTAACTCACTGCATTTCCCTGTCCATTATTATTTTCTCTGGGTCCAAAAAAGAACCCTTTTTTCCTTGACAACCAAAAAAGAACGTTACTTTTAATTAATGGGGTTTTTTCCCCTTCTTTTATTTATTTCATCCCCAAAATAAATGAAAAAAGAAAAAAAAAGAGTCAATTACGATCAGGAACCCTAGAACAGAACGAGTCGAGTTGAACCCATTTCACCCAGATATTTCACTCGCGACTCACGATTCCACCAGCGATCCCACCAGCCCTTCTTCAAACTCCTCTTCTCTCTCTCTCTCTCTCTCTCCCTCCCCTCTCTTCCCTCTCTTCGCGCCCTTTAAGCCAAGAATCGAACCCCTCTTTTAATTCTCAGAAAGTAAAGAAAGATTATGAGCGTCGCCAATATGAGAATGCCGGTGAAGCGACCGGAAAGATTCTGAAAGGCCTTGAAAATCCCACATTCAAGATATTGAAGCTTGTACGGTTCTTTGTTTATCCTTACAAGTAATAACTTAGTTTCATATGATTCTTTCCAGTTTTTGTGTTCTGTGACTCATCTGTTTGCCGAAAGTCCAAACTGTTTTGAGTGATCATGACCTGTTTGGTTCTTTCCTTCAACTATCACTTACATGCTTATCTTCGTTGATTTCGATGAACTTTAGTCTCTCTCTGCTGATAGCATCAACATTTTATGTGGTGCTTAGGAAGGATGCCCGAGTCGATAAATGCTTAACTCATCTCAGGTTTAACTGCGTTTACAATTCCGCTAAGGTTCAAACTTCTTGCTTATGAAGAATTACTTTTCTCTCCACAATCTTGATTTTCATATTTCTCTATTTAAATAAGAAAATCCCATAATCTATTGGTAAAAATCAAGCAGTGATAGACATCACGAAAGGGAATCAGGATAGAATAGTCTAATTGGTGTCAACATAAATGCTCTTCATTGTATATTTTAGGTATCTTCTGATTGATTAATCAGCCACTGAAATCACACTGTCATTAGAGTTTACTGGTGGTTATGCTTTTCTGGCACGATCCTTGAACGATGTACTGATGGATATTTAAACTGATGCCAATTATACTTCAGCTCAGTTAGATTGATCAAGAAGACCAGTGGAATTTACCATAGTGGTGTATCGATGATGGCCCCAATTCGCTCCTCTGGATTTGTTGATCCAGGCTGGGAGCATGGAGTTGCTCAGGATGAAAAGAAGAAGAAGGTTAAATGCAACTACTGCGGGAAAATAGTTAGTGGTGGCATATATAGATTGAAGCAACATTTAGCACGAGTTTCAGGGGAAGTTACTTACTGTGACAAGGCTCCAGAGGAAGTATATCTGAGAATGAGAGAGAACCTGGAAGGTTGTCGTTCCAATAAGAAACCGAGACAATCTGAAGATGACGAACAATCATATTTGAACTTCCATTCCAATGATGACGAAGAAGATGGTTTACATGTTGCTTATAGAAGTAGAGGAAGGCAACTAATGGGAAGCAGGAATATTGCTGCTAACATGACTACTCTAAGGTCACTAAGATATGTTGACCCTGGGTGGGAACATGGTGTGGCTCAAGATGAAAGGAAGAAGAAGGTAAAATGCAACTATTGTGAAAAGATAGTTAGTGGAGGTATAAATAGGTTTAAGCAACACCTAGCCAGAATTCCTGGAGAGGTAGCTCCTTGTAAACATGCTCCAGATGAAGTGTATCTAAAGATCAAAGAGAATATGAAATGGCATCGTACTGGGAGGAGACATGGACATACTGATGCCAACGAAATATCAGCGTATTTTATGCAATCAGATAATGAAGATGAAGAAGATGAAAAAGAGGAATCCCTGCATCATATTAGCAAAGAAAGATTGATCGACGGTGACAAAAGACCGAGCAAAGATTTGAGAAGTACTTTCAGGGGAATGTCCCCTGGTGGTGGATCTGAACCATCGGTTAAAAGATCTAGGTTAGATTCTGTTTTTCTGAAAACCACCAAAAGACAAACTGAACAGGTGCACAAACAAGCATTAGTTAAAAGAGGGGCCAATAGGAGGTCACGCAAAGAAGTGATGTCTGCAATTTGCAAATTCTTTTGCTATGCAGGAATTCCTTTTCAATCTGCAAATTCTGTTTACTTTCACAAGATGTTGGAGACAGTTGGTCAATATGGACCAGGCTTGGTTGGCCCTTCATGTCAACTGATTTCTGGTCGGTTTTTACAGGAGGAAATTGCAACCATTAAGAATTACCTGGTTGAGTTGAAGGCCTCCTGGGCAATTACTGGTTGTTCTTTACTGGTAGACAGCTGGAAGGATTCAGATGGTAGGACATCTATGAACTTTTTGGTTTCTTGTCCCCGTGGTGTTTACTTTGTCTCTTCAATCGACGCCACTGATATAGTAGAAGACCCTTCAAACTTTTGTAGGGTGCTTGACGGAGTGGTAGATGAAAATGGAGGGGAAAATGTGGTGCAGGTAGTTTCTTTGCTCCAATTATCTACTAGTTTCTAACCTTAATTACCGTGTCCTTGCAACTAATTGTTTTTTGTTTCTCCATTATTTTCTCAGGTAATTACTGAGAATACTCCCAGTTATAAAGCTGCTGGCAAAATGCTCGAGGAGAAGAGAAGACATTTATTCTGGACTCCATGTGCGACGTATTGTATTGATCACATGCTTGAAGATTTTTTGAAATTGAGATCTGTGGAAGATTGCATGGAGAAGTGCCAAAAAGTTACCAAGTTTATTTACAATCGGAACTGGTTGTTAAATGTCATGAAGAACGAATATACCCAGGGGATGGAACTTCTGAGACCCGCAGTTACTCAGAATGCCTCAAGTTTTGCTACTTTGCAGTGCTTGCTGGACCACAGAGCTAGTCTACGGAGAATGTTTATCTCCAATGAGTGGACTTCTTGTAGGTTTTCTAAATCTGGTGAGGGAAAAGAAGTAGAGATGATTGTATTAAATGCTTCATTTTGGAAGAAGGTGCAATATGTTTGTAAATCTGTGGAACCAGTATTGCAAGTTCTTCAAAAGGTTGATTGTGTTCAGAGCTTGTCAATGTCATCTATATATAATGACATGTACAGAGCCAAGTTTGCTATAAAATCCATTCATGATGATGATGCCAGGAAATATGGACCATTCTGGAATGTGATAGACAACAACTGGAATTCTTTGTTTTGCCACCCTTTACATATGGCTGCTTATTTCTTAAACCCATCATACAGATATCGTCCTGATTTTGTGGCGGTATGCATGTAACTCTTTGTTGGGGATGCAAATTCATGACGCTCTCTTTTCTCAGTTACATTTCCTTTGTTTATGCAGCATTCGGAGGTGGTTCGTGGACTTAATGAATGCATAGTTCGGCTAGAGTCCGACAATTCCAGAAGAATTTCTGCATCTTTACAGGTAATGGATGGAGCCTGTCTATTATATTTTCTTTTGTTTATTATCTTCACTGCTTTGATGTTGGATGTCCCAGATTTCTGACTATAATTCAGCGAAGTCTGATTTTGGAACTGAGTTGGCCATTAGTACAAGAACAGAGCTTGATCCAGGTAATAGTCGGATTATCCTTCTGTATTTAATATCCTATGTTATTGATAAATTTGCACTCCATGAGCATTGTAAGAGAACTTTTCTGTTGTGCAATAATTATAATATTGTTGAATTATAGTCAGTCATCACTCATCAGTTTCATTTTTGCTTGTTTAAATAGCTGCATGGTGGCAACAGCATGGAATAAGTTGCTTAGAGCTGCAACAAATAGCTGTTCGCATACTGAGTCAGACATGTTCATCTTTGTGTTGTGAGCACAACTGGAGCCCATTCGATAAGGAACGCAGTCAAAGGCACAATGGTTTGTCTCAGAGGAGAATGGCTGATATGTTGTATGTTCACTACAACCTGCGACTTAGAGAACGCCAACAAAGAAAGCGATCCAGTGACTCTATTTCTCTTGATCATATTCTTACGGAACATTTACTGGATGAGTGGATTGTGGAACCCCAGAAACAAGGCATGCAGGAAGATGAGGTATGCGAGTCATACTGTCTTTACCTGCAAAGAAATTTCATAATATGCGAGCAATAATAAGTGATCTCTTACTTGTTCCAATGGACTGTAGTCCACAAACTAACATGTAGTGGATGACATGTCTTATGTCTTTCAAATGTCAGATTTTGTTTATGGAAAACCGGAACTGGGGGTTAACAACAGTCTCGCTCATGGCCCATCCCGTAAATTCCAAAGGAGGCTTCGCCCACCCAGATTAATTCTAGGAGACAAACAGGGTTTTGAATTATTAAGTTCTCTAATTGGGGTTTAATTGGGAGGGTATCTCCAAACACCCATAGCCTTTACCGATAGGACTGCCCTTTTGGAGAAGTTTTAGATCTCAAAATCATTAGTATGAAATTCAAAGCAGATCAATTTAACATCTAAACTAAACTTTGGTCAGAATCTTCCTGGAGATGGAGCCAAGATATGTAGCTCAACGCATAAAAAAAAGAAATTTGGGGAAGAGATTCTAGAATAGATGAGTGAGTCACAAAAGATCTAACATCAAAACATAATATTGGAGTGGGAGTGGGAGTGGGATGAACTCATTCTATTGTAGCTAGTATGCTGCAAATCTTGCCGTCGATGGACTCATTCTATTCATTAAGTTTTCATCAAAGCAGCTTGTCTTGCCCGTGCAGTTGCCCTTGCTTCATAAGACTGTCTCGGGGTTCTCACGGTAAACGCGATCCGTAATGCATTGCATAGCCAGCCTGTGATACAAAATTCCTATTCAATTGTCATTTTTACATGGCTTCTGACATCATTCTGTAGTTGAAAACTCATACTTAATTATCTCAGGAAATCCTTTGTCCTGGAATGGAGCCACTGGATGCGTATGAGAATGATTTGATTGATTACGAGGACGGGACTTCGGAGGAGGGCCGGAAGGGTTGTCTTCAACTTGTTAGTTTGACTGATGTAGAAACTTTGGATGTCAATCCTGCCAATGGAGGCGCGTCGACCGACAATGATGCTGATGTTAAGTTCTACGATGACGAGCTAAGTGACTAATACAGGTATGCAACTTAACCTGACACTGTATCAGTTTATTGAAATGAAAAATGAGTTGAGTTCACCAGCCATTGCCTGGCTCTAAGTGATTTGTGGCTTAAAATCTTTTTGCCTCTGCTATCTACAACCCTGTAATGGGTGCTTGTACAATTATAAAAGGTTCCTACCTTTTATGAAATCCAGACAGAAAATTGTTCAAAGTTATTAGTTCTCCAATTCCTTTTGTTCTGACTTTGAGTAGGCTAGATTCTGATTTGTCTTAAAAGTAATGCTTAGAATAGGGTTAATTTGCTGATGTGGTTTGTCTTGAGATAAGATAATATCTTTTTCAAATAGGTTGTTTTATTTTTGAAATTAGTTAGATCTCAAAAGTAACTTTTAAGGTATCAAACGGTAAAAGTGAATGTTTCTTATTGAAAGTTTAAATACTATTTTGGTCCATGTTATTTCGACTTTGTTTCATTTTGGTCCATGTAATTCCAAAATGTTCATTTTGGTTCTTATACTTCAACTTTTGTTCATTTTAGTCTCTGTACTCTCAAAACGTCTACTTTGGTCTCTATACTTTAAAAGAGTGGTCATTTTGATTTTTGTTTCATTTCAGTCGATCATAACACTTCACTCTCTAAATTCCTTGAAATATACCCGAACATTTTTATTAAAGAGGTTTCACTGTATATAAATTTGTGTTAAGATTTCACAAATAGAAACCAATTGGTCGTGATTTTAAATTACAGAGACCAAAGTCGACCGTTTAAAAGTACAATGATAAACTAAAATCAAAGTAAATGGACGAGTATAGTATTTAAACTTGGTTTTGAAACATGTTTTCATGAATACATTATTTTATTTTTTAGATTTCATGTTATATTCTCTTATTTCAAGAAAAAAAAAAAACAAGACAAATCAACGAGTCTCCCGAGGTTCTGTTGTATTCACTTTACAGCTACCTTACAATACACGTATCTATGCCCAACTTGGCAACTTCCTCATAACTAAATAATGGTCCCCTTGGACCACAAAACCACCTCATTGATTGAATCAAAGTTTCTTATCCTCACATGTCAATGGGCGTCGTTGTTTAGGTTTAAGTAGACGGTTTTAGAAGTCTAAATTTACAAGGGTGTGAAGCTACTGTCTATATGATAGTTTTGCTTCATCGTCTTGCTTCGTAAAGTTTCGACTTTACTTAGTCCTTTTTGCTAGTATAGATCTCTTGATTTGGAGTGGAGATGTTGGCTATGCAGGTTTTTTTGAGTGGGGATTTTCATGGTGAGTTATCTATCAAGTCCGTTGGTTTCTCCAATTACACTCTTGATTTCGAAAACTCCTCCAAACATAGATAGAGTAGACTGACTTGATCTCTCCAATTACACTCGAGTTTGAAAACTCCTTCAAACGTAGAGTAGACTTGGGAATAGGAAGCCAAATGCCATTTTTTTAACATAATGAGTGATTCGAACATTTCATAACCGTTTTCAACTAGAAATGAATTTAATATGATATAATACGATAGATAATGTCAACCTGAATATAATTCAGTGGCCACCCAACCTGTTGTATGGTAAAAAAATGCAATAATTAATAATATGGGAGGATCTTACAAATCATTTATTAAGAAGTTTAATAATTAAATAGATTATTTATAAGTTGTCGGTTAGTTTTGTGATTATGAAAACTTTGTCGTGTTTCAAATTTGTGTGCTAAATGTAATAGAAGATTAAGATGGTGATGTGACTGACTAGATGTTGACGCCATAGCAACTTTACTAAAATTAGAACTAAAAATGTAGGATTGAAATTGATGTAAACATAGGACTTACAAATACTTCAAGATAAATTATTTTAAAATAGACTTCGTTAATGTTTTTACTTGACTTTTATTTCTTATTTTGACCTTGCTGAACTGACCTTAAGGTTGTTACTAATTTATTTAACGCAAACAGCCATACCATTATTAAATATTATGAAAAAAGTAATATGGTAGAAAAAAAGTAAATACTAACATCGAAACATTTATTTACATATTTTCTAATATTAAATCAAAAATCAAATGTCTATTTATATGGTAAAACTTTACTCTCCAAAAACTTAAAAAATTGGTTTTCAAAGCTGTAGAATAAATAAAAGAATTATTAAATGAAATAAAAATAAATAAATACAACCCTATATAGTTTTATAGTAATTTAAAAATTAATAAGCAACTTAATCTGGATAAACAGTTGAACCAACTTTTTTTTTTTGTTTAACTACAACATGTGGTGGAGGTTTGAACTCATGACCTTTTGACCAGAGATATGTGTCTTAATCACTTGAGATATCTGGTTGAACCAACTTAATCCATAGCGTTTTCATTTATTTAAATCCAACTCAATTCAAGTCGTGTGGATTGGATTTGGATAGATCGATTTTTTCGAGTCATGAGTTTTTTTAACCTCCCTACCATGCTATAGTTCTAAACTCTAAAAGAGCTGCAGATTTCT